TGTCCTGGAAGCGCCCCTTGTGCACCAGCGGGGTCCCTGTGTTATCTGTTCCACTCCTGCGACCTTCTGCCTCTGGACGCACCTGTCTGGACTCTTCCGCGTGATGGAATCGTGCAGCACGTGGCCTTCGTGTCTGGCTTCCCTTGCTGGGCATGTGTTCAAGGTTCACACGTGCTGTGCGTGTGTTGGGGCTGCATTCCTCTTAAAGCTGTTGTTCGCTCGTGTGTATACACTGCATTTTCTGAGTCCATCCTTCAAGGGACGCGTGGTTGTCCTGCCTTTGGTGCTGTCGAGGGTAGTGCTGCTGTGAGCACGTGTGCTCGAGCTCTGGTGCTGTCTCTGATGGGCGCACACTGGAGGGCGGAGTTGCTGGTGCTGTGGTCATGGTGTCGGCTGTCGAGGCTGCCTTGTGCCCCCCTCAGATGCACTTCTTGACCACCTTTCTGCGGCCAGGCAGCAGAGGTGCCTCTGAAACTGTCCATTGGGACAGGGACTCAGTTGTCACAGTCCACGTCCCGGCATGTTGCAGAGTGGGGCCGGGGCCCTGTTCTCACAGTCGACCCCAGGACGTCACGTGGGTGACTGACTTTCTGTAGGGTGACCCAGAAGGGCGAGGGGGAGCAGTGGGGCCGGGGAGGCCGCGGGCTCTGGGCGGGACTGAGGCAGGATGGCGCTGTGGTCGGAGCTGATTCTGTGACGAGGTGAGGGACCGGGCCTGTGGCTCTCAGGGAACCTCTTGCCTTTGTCCCTGTTTTGAATTGCTGGTTTGATGAAGGAAGTTCTGGTCACCCACAACTCACTAGCCAGAGAGAGCCCTGGTGAATGTTCCAGAGTTTTGTTTCGTTTTGTTTTGTTTTTAGTAAAACGAACTGATTTCAACTCCACACATATTTGTTTTTAAATATCTATTTATTTATTTTTGGCTATGCCGGGTCTTTGTTGAGGCCTGCGGACTTCTTAGTTGAAGCATGTGTGCAGGATCTAGTTTCCCCACCAGGGATCGAACCTGGGCCCCCTGCATTGAGAGCGTGGAGTCTTACCCACTGGACCACCAGGGAAGTTCCTCCAGAGTTTTTGGGGGGGTTTTTTGTTTTGTTTTTTCTTAAATAAATTTATTTTATTTATTTTTGGCTGAATTGGGTCTTCGTTGCGTGTGGGCTTTCTCTAATTGCAGCAAGCGGGGGCTACCCTTTTTTGCGGTGCGCGGGCTTCTCATTGCGGTGGCTTCTCTTGTAGACGAGCACAGGCTCTAGGCTCATGAGCTTCAGTAGTTGTGGCACATGGGCTCAGTAGCTGTGGCTCGCGGGCTCTAGAGCGCAGGCTCAGTAGTTGTGGCGCACGGGGCTTAGTTGGTCTGCGGCATGTGGGATCTTCCCGGACCAGGGCTCGAACCCGTGTCCCCTCCGTTGGCAGGTGGATTCTTAACCACTGAGCCACCAGGGAAGCCCCAGAGTTGCTCTTGATGAGGATGGGGCGACCCTGTTCCTGCCTTTGCAGTTACTGAATCGCGAGCGTTTCTCGCTGTGTCCCCGCTGTTCACGCCGCCCTCCCCCGCCCACAGGCAGCTGGAGGAGCAGCACGGCATCCACTGCAACATGACGCTGCTCTTCTCCTTCGCCCAGGCCGTGGCCTGCGCTGAGGCGGGGGTGACGCTCATCTCCCCCTTCGTGGGCCGCATCCTCGACTGGCACGTGGCCAACACGGACAAGAAGTCCTTTGAGCCCCTGGAGGACCCCGGTGAGGAGCATTGGGAGGCAGGGGCGGAGGAGTGCTGCGCTGTCTGCTGCCGACGGCCGGCGTGGCAGCTCTGGGCATGTCCCCCCAGGAGTGAAGAGCGTCACCAAGATCTACAACTATTACAAGAAGTTCGGCTACGAGACCGTCGTCATGGGCGCCTCCTTCCGCAACACGGGCGAGATCAAGGCCCTGGCGGGCTGCGACTTCCTCACCGTCTCACCCCAGCTCCTGGGGGAGCTGCTCAAGGACCACAGCAAGCTGGCGCCCACGCTCTCGGTCAAGGCAGGTAAGAAGCCCCCCGCCCCGCTCAAGGCCCCCATGGGGACACCGGTGCCTCCGTCACCTGAGGGTGTGGAGCCTAGAGCCGCAGGGCCAGCCTGCACTCACCTGCTGTCCAGCCCACCATCCGTGGGGGCCGCGCCAGGCAGGGGCCTTAGGGCGGCTCTGAGCCCAAGGCCCCGGCGCGTGCCCTCCCCCAGCCCAGGCCAGTGACCTGGAGAAGGTCCACCTGGACGAGAAGGCCTTCCGCTGGCTGCACAACGAGGACCGCATGGCCGTGGAGAAGCTCTCGGACGGGATCCGCAGGTTCGCCGCGGACGCTGTGAAGCTGGAGCGGATGCTGGCGGTGAGAGCCCGGGGTTACGGTTGGGAGGGGCCGGGCCGGGGGGTGGGGGCGGACAGCGCACCAGCTCACACTGCCCATCTCTAGGAACGAATGTTCAGCGCGGAGAACGGAAAATAGCTTGGCACCTGAGGCTGGACCACAGATATGCCGCCGACTTTGAATTGGGGCCTAATTGCCCATATGCCTTGCGACGAATCTTGGATTTTTTTTTACTGATCGGAGCGGGGATTAATCACAGATTTCCAATTTTATGTAAAATTCTGCTCAGCGCATTAAAGGTGTCACTTTTCATTCCGTGTGTGCGTCCTTTCTCCGCTGGCTGCAGCCTGGCCCGATGGAGGCGGGGTTGGGTCAAGAGCCCCCTGGGGGCCTCCAGGCAGGGGTGACAGCCCCTCACCTGCTTCTGGGAGCCTGGACACAGAAGGCAGGGACTGCCTGAGCACTTTCTCTGTGTCTGGAGCCAGACGGCCCCGGGGCTTGTAGGCTGTGCTTGCAGAGTTGGGTGGGAGGGTGCCAGGGGCCCGCTGGAGCTGTGCGGGGGGCCGGGCCCGCAGAGAGGAGCCTCTGCGTCAGAGCTTCCGGCTGTCCGGACCTGTTGGGACGGCCCCCATGCCTCTGAGCCTCTCCACGCTGCCCTGGGGCGGAGGCACAGGTGGGGCGATGGCGCCACCTTGTGGGGACAGCGTAGCGTGCGCTGAGCAGGGCTCCCAAACCTCAAACCCCGAGCAGAGGCAGGGCACAGCTTGTGAAGACACTTTACTTGCACCCTCTGGATTTTTCTGGGAAGGGGTTGGTGGGGGGCGGTGATGGGTGGTCCACAGGGGAGCCCCTTCCTCTACCCTGGGACCAGCCTCTGTTCTTGGAACAGCGAAGCTGGGGGTGGGGGTGGGGACACAGGGTCTGGGTGAGACTGCCTGGGAGCACGAGGTGGGTGGAAGGGGCCCCGGCGGACCCTCCAGTCCTGCGCCAGTGGAGCCAGGTGTCAGGACAGCCCTGTGGGACGCTGCCCTGGGTCTGGCTGAGGGTCAACGGGGAGACCCTGTGCCCCCCACCCCCGCCCTGGGGGCACCTGCTGGGCTGGGCTTGTTCCCCATGGCTCCCTGCAAGTGAGTGGGGCTCCTGGAACCCCCGTCTGCTGGGGTTGGAGCAGGTAGCTGGGACTTGCGGTTCTGGAGCTGCCACCCTCCCCAAACGCAGGGGCACTGCTGAGCAGGCAGGGCTCCGGGGACAGGTGCCACCCTGGGCCACACCCCTCGGGCCACCTAGCCTGCCCAGGCTGCCCCACCCATCCTGGTGCTGAGGGGGTGGCCTTGGGTTGGGTGCCATAGCACAGGGACCTGCTGAGGTGGGCAGGGCTTCTCGCCCCCAGCCCCCCAGCTGCCTGGCCAGGTCGGGTCAGGGGGCTAAGGCTTCCTGCAGCCCCCTCCCCCTGAGCGAGCTGATCAAAGGGCTGTGTCCTAGGAGGACGTGGAGGTCTCAGCTCACCATCTTGCCTGGCCTGGGGCCTCAGGATGGAGACCGTGGATGCCAGTGACAGACATGAAGCCCACCTGCTCACGGGTACAACCCTGTGCAGCCAGCACCCTAGAACATGCTTGTCCCCCGATCTGCCCCCGTTCCCAGCCACAAATGACCGATCCACACTGAGTTTTTGGATTTTTCATATCTGTCTGGTTTCCTTTGCTGAGCATGTTTCCAAGGGTCCACCGCATGGACGTTAATATTGTCCAGTAGTAAGAATGCTCCTTTTATGGAAGCTACAGCTTATCGCGAAAAACACCACAGATGTTCACGCACTGTTTTTGTAGAGTTGTAGGTCTTTCTTTCTCTTGGATAAACCTCAGGGTCTATTTTAAACACCCCGGGAATGTGGGGAACCCCCGGGGGCACAGGCACCTGCACCCACCCAGTGGCCACCCCAGTGCCCTGGACCTGGCATACCCAGGACCAGCCAGTGGGGCAGACTCAGAAAGCATCAGCGACCAGGGAGCAGGGCTGTGGAGGGGCCCCCGCAGAGCCCGCCTGGGTCTTGGTCTGCACAGTCAGAAGGCGTCATCATTTGAAAAAAACTTTTTGTCCAGAGACGTCCATGACTCCGTGATGTGGCGACTGCAAACACGGAATGAACGATGGGGCTGCCCAGGCCCCATGTGTGCACAGAGCAGGCCAGCAGGTGGCAGGAGCCCTGACGCCGGGAGATGCCGGACAGAAAGGAGCATGTGGGAGCATCGCCTCCGACTCGGGCGCCCTGCTTCCTCCTCCTTTGTTCTGAGGGATTGGATGCGGCAGAGCTAGTCAGGCTGAGACAAGGATGGTGACACACACGGGGCCAGAGCGGCTCCAGGAGGCCCCAGCCAAGGGCCACAGGCCAGGACAGGTGCCCTGGGGAAGCTGGAGAGCCACCAGGCTGCACTGGGACTCGGCTGGCTGGACAGCCACCTGGCATCCCCAGGACTGTCCGCCGCCCCTGCCAACCCAGCCCAGCCAGCCCCACTCAAGGCCTCCTTCCAAGTGGAACTCGGCTCCATCACGTCCACCTTGAAACAGGCAGAGCAGCTGCAAAACCAGGCTCGGCCGTCAGGACCCGAGGCCACCTGGGCAGGGCCGTGTGTTGTATCCACAATTAAAAGTGTTTCTCAAAAAAAAAAAAAGTGTTTCTCAACATCAGAAGGGACGTGGTGACACTGCAGCATCCACCCCAAGGTCCATCCTGGCCTTAACACGGGGTCGCCACCACATTTGAAACTGTGCACTAGGCAAGGGCTAGGGTGAGAGCAGGTCCTTCAGCAGCAGCCAGCGGGCCCCTCCCCACCCAGCCCCCAGCAACGCCCAAAGGCCTGGGAAGACCGCAGGGAGGCCTGGGAGGAGCCTCAGCACAGAAGCGGGACCCTGGGATCCCAGCCGGCAGCCACCCAGCTTCCAGGAAGGCTCAGCCTCTGCCCCCCCCCCCCCCACCGCCGCCAGGGTGAACAGGGACGGGCACAGGAGCCAAGGCCCCAGCCCGGACCCCACAGCCGACCCTCTGCGGAGCACTCAGAATGCTCCAGGGCCACCCGGCCGCCAGCGGGCCCTCGGCACTCCCCACCCCTCCCTGAGGAGACTCTGCAGGGTGGGGGGCTCAGCCCCTCCCCCAGAGCCTTCACCCCTCAGGGAGGATCCTCAGAGCCCCCAGCAAGCCAGGATGGGGTGTCGTGAAGATGGGGTTCCCGGAAGCCTGAGAGTCCAGCTGCCTCTGGGGACACCCGGGACATCTGGAGGTGGTGGCATCCGCTGGCGGGCTCAGTTTGGGGCCACCTCACTTCCTGCGGGACGGAGGCCAGGTCAAGGCAAAGGGGCCAGTCACAAGCCAGCGTCCCACCCGCCACCCAGGCCAAGGCCCCTCACCGGCTGCCGCAGAGGAAGAGCAGGTTCTGCACGGCCGGGACGGTGGAGCTGGCGTTCTGGCCAGTGACCAGGTGGCGGTCCAGCACCACGTGCACGGCATCAGGCTCGCTGGCTGCAGGAGACCCCCGGAGGCCCAGGCCTCAGGCCACGTGCTGGGCCAGCTCCCGAGACCCTCCCGCACCTGCCCTCCCGGGCCAGGGACTCGTGGTCAAGGGCTGGCCCCCGAGGTCCTTTGGACACTCAGCCCCTGCAGGCGGGCCTGGCCAGGGCCCCCACTCACCACTGAAGCAGGCCCCCGCGTCCTTCACGAAGTCCTCCACGACCAGGGGCAGGTGGGCGAAGCCAGGCGCCCGGACGAGCTCGTACACGGAAGGCTGCGGGGACAGGGCACCCAGGCTCAGGGGGCCACGCCCGCCACGTGGGGGCTGCTGAGGGTGGAGGGGCCCGCAGCAGGGGCCGGGGCTGAGGCTCTCCCGCCGTGGGGTGGCCTGAGGTGACAAGGCCACCGTAGGGCGGGAGCTGCCTGTCACCACCTCGCCCAGCATCGGGGCACACGGGTGACCAGAATGAGCCGGGCAGGTGACCTCAGGGCAGAGCCCTTCAACGAGCAGAAGGGCTGGGGGTCGAGCACAGAGCCACGCGAGGGGTGGTGACCGAGGTCCCCCCCAGAGGAGAGCCCCTGGCCCTCTCCTCCTGTCCTCTCCCAGCCACCAGCCAGGCCGGCCCCGTGCAGCCCCCACACCTAGGCCTCAGTCCTCGCCCGGCAGATCCCCCCAGACCTGCCCCAGGACCCGGACTCTGGCTCCACGTCCAGCCAGGCCCTCTGCCCAAGTGGCGGCACCGCTTCCTGGACCCGAAAGGAGTGACATACTCAACAGGCATGAAACAAGGCCCCGAAGGGCCCCTGCTCCCCACCCCTGCCCCATGCTGGTAACCAAGAGCCCCAGCTGGGCAAATGACTGCTGCCCCCACCGGAGGGGACCCTGGGCCCCCCAGCAGGCCCCCAGCCAGTCCCCCTGCTCTCGGATGCGTGTGCACATCTTCCATACCCATCCACAGCCCAGCACCCCTGCAGCACTCACCCCCGTGACGCTGTAGCCTTGGAACACCCAGGACCTGTCCTCATTGGTGGCACAGCAGAGGGCGGCAACGCCGTGGCCCACAGCACAGATGGGCTCTGGAAGCAGGGCCAAGGCCAGAGTGAGGCACTGGAAGCCGCCCAGGCCCCTGCCAACATTTCCACTTCCCTGGCTCCCCTCCCCAGATACAACTCAGAACTAGGATTTGTTTAGAACCCAGATCCCCTCAAGTCGTTCCCGTGGCCAAGAAACAGGTACAACAAGGAGGAAGTCCGGTGCCAGGCCACCTGTCACACCGGAGCGCCACCACCTTCTGCCCCGCAGAACCACCCGCCTGGCTCCAGGCCCCGACCTGGCCTCTAGGCACCGCGGGGCAGCCCGCCTGGGAGACCCCCCCTCTGAATGCGGCGGGGGAGGCTCCCGGCCCTCCTCTTGCCCCGCAGGCCCCTGGCTCTGAGGCTCCCTCTCAGGGCAGCCTGGCATGAGTGCGTTCCCACGGCTGAGGCGGCCCAGACAATCACTGCCTGGGGACAGGAGGCCCCGTTCCCACCAGCAGAGGACACGCCCTAACGAGCGTCCCAGCCCCATCGCAGCCACTTGTCCATCACCGCCAATGCCAGGCCAGGGCAGCGCGCCATGTCTCCACAGAGCAGAAGTCCTGCCAGCCTCCGAGCCCAAACCCCACCGGGAACAAAGCCAGCATCCTGCCTGCCCATCTGGGGGGGTAAGCATCCCCAGCCATGAGCCCCCGAGGGAACCAGGCAGAGGGACCACAAGGGCAGCGGCCTGATGGGCACAAAGTCGGGGAAGGAGGGATGGGGAAGGGATGCCCCTCCTGAATGTGTGTGTGTGTGTGTGTGTGTGTGTGTGTGTGTGTGTACACACGCCGTCTAAGCTTGTCCGCTCACTGGTCAGAATCATGGCTCTTCACACCTACCCTATCTGGCTCCTGAAATGACTGGGCATCTCCAGCAACAAAACCTGAACCCCGCAGTCCATGGCCATCACCTCCCACGCCCCTCACTGGGCATCTCCCCGCCTCTCCTCCCTGTCGGTGGAGCCCCATTTCCCACGAATCTGCATACACACCCCAACCCCAGTCCTGGGGGCCACCTACTGCTCTCGGAGCGGAAGTGCTGCAGGATGCGAGCCAGGGACCCGCTGCTGGCCAGGTCAGCCAGGGCCCCAGGACAGCTGGGAATCAGGAGGGCGTGGTACCGGGCACCTGGCGGGAGACCACAGCCCAGTCAGTCACAGACAGCGAGGTCGCCAGCTGGGACCAGGCCCTACACGGCCACCAGCCCAGCTCCTCTCTGCTCCTGCCAGCCACTGTGTCACAAGGATTGTGTCACTTACCCCCACGTGGGCTAAGGCTCCCGAGGCTCACAAACCACCTCTGTGTGCCTGCCAACTCCCTCCCCCAGACCGAGCTGGAGAACTCTGGCCACAGGACGCAGGACTGGACACGGTCCCGGATGGCCACAGTGCTTCGTGACAAGCCCCTGGATGCTCCAGGAACAGAGTGAGCGAGCACTTTGGGGCCATGACCCCAGCTGGAACCACCCCCCACCCAGACCCTCCAGGCCCCGCACCGTCGATGGACTCGAGCTTGGCGGGGCTGGCGTAGGCCTTGAGGCGGAAGTCCTGCACCCAGCGCGCGTTGCTCTCGTTCACGTCCACGAAGTCCATGGTCTTCCCCTGCAGGAGCCCAGCATGAGACGCCCCCGCTATTGGCTCAAGAAAATGCTGACAAGGGCTGGGACTGACAGCAGTGCCTCGGGACAAAGGCACCCGACCACCCAGCCCCTCGGCAAGCCTCGCCACACCCAACCCCCTCCTGCCCCTGAGTGGCCTCAGTCTCCTGCCTATGAAGTGGAAGCAAGTGTCCCACCCACCTCAGGGGTGACCCTTGGTGCAGTGAGAAACACCTGATGGGTCACTTCTGTGACCCTGAGTTCCACACCATCGAGGGCCGAGAAGTCCTCCCAATGGTAGGTCTGTGCCACCCTCACTCACACGTGACCAAAGGTCTCAGAAAATGGGGAACAGAACTAGCTGGTGCCACCGGGGTCCTGGGCCCTCAGCCCAAGCTGGCTCCCGGCTCCTCCCAGGGGGTGGAACACTGTCCTGGAGAAGAGGGTGGCTGGACTTACCCCGGGGGTGGCCACCTGCAGATTGAAGGCGGCGCTGGCCAGTGTGAAGCAGTGGAGGAAGGACTGGGCTGACACGCCTGTGAGGAGATGCAGCCCGGTGGGTGTAGGGCTCCTCCCGGCCCCGGACCACCCTGGGGAGCAGCCCCGCACCCCATCTCACCCCGGGGCCCACCCCTCCCATGGCTGAGGTAGCAGCCCTAGCCCCCCTGGCCCCCCGAGGGGGGCTGTCTCCCCAGCCTGACCACTAAAGGCCTTTCCAGAAGGCAAACCCATGCATGAGGTTCCCTGACACTCTGCTTGTCTACGCACCGAACCACAGGGGCTGAGCACCAGCCCCACCCCCGATCGCAGCCACAGAGGAGCGGCAGTGAGCGAGGCCTGTGGCCGTGGAGGTGGGCCGCAGCACGTGTCAGCAGGAAGCGCGGTGCACAGGCCGGGGAGACGCTGGCTCCTTTCCTCACCGAGCTCGTGGATCCCGCCTACCGCCCCGGCCCCGGGGCTGCGCACAGCCTCTTCTGCGCACGCCCAGTCCGAAGGCTCCCGGCCGCTGGGAGCTGAGGCCCCCCCCTACCAGAGACGCCTGCTTCTAAAGGGACTTGATCTGCGTCCCTCCACCTTTATTTAGTCGAGGGACCCAATCCCGAAACCTCGCCTTCACCTTTATTCAATCTTACAAATTAATACACATTCATCGTAAAGAGTCCACAGATTGGGCAAAGACGGTCTCCCCAGTTCTGCCCAGTTCCTCCAGCCCTCCCACCCCCACCTGCTCCGCCCCAGGGTCCCCTGAAGGGACTCTGGAGGGTCCGCTCGTCCTGCCCACGGAGCGCAGGAGCCTTGTCAGAGCTGTGCCCCCCACCCCATGTCCTCAGCATCCCTTCCCCGTGGCACAGCCAAGCCAGTGCGACCCCTCCTCGCCCTTACTGCACTCCGACCAGCCACCTACGTCTTCAGGACTGAACCCCACTCTCGATGGCTCACCCTTGAACTCCCCATGCGGGGTGGGGGGCGTCCCTCAGTTCCTCCATCCCTCATTCTGGGGACAGCTCAGGGGCCCTGGGGCTCAGCACACTGTGACCCCATGACCCGCAGTCCTCACTCCCTCGCCCACTTGGGCAGCCACAGAAGTCAAGGCGGCAACAGACTCCAGAGTCGGACCCTGGGTCCCAACCGTGGTTCTCCACCTCCCGCCATTCGACCTTGGGCTCATCACTCCTCTGCGATGCAGGCGGCAAGGGGAGCACCCAGGAAGTGCGCCAGCCACCCTCACCGGCTCGTTGCTCCCCTGCTGCCCCTGAGCACCCGGGGGCCTTGGGCGAGAACCGGGCCCCACCAGCCACGGCGCCCGCGAGCCCATCGGACTCGTCCCTTCCCCACCCTCGTCCTCCGGGCCGTGTGCCGGGCCGGCGGGCAGCGGGGAGGGTGCGGGGAGGAGACACCACTGCCCTCGCCTCCCCGCCTCCCCGGCTCCCCCAGAGCGGCGGCCAGGCGTACTGACCAGACCCGCGGCGGGCCGCCATCCCCGGTCCTCGTCTCCACAGAACCCCGGCCCGGGCGGAAGCACTCGCGGCGGACGGCCCCCGGCCCCGCCCGCCCCGCCCTCTCGAGCCTCACCTTCGGCGGCGCCGCTGGCCACGAGGAGGCAGGCTGGCCGGCTCGGGAGCCGCTCGGACGCCATGGGCCCAGCCACGGCCTGTGCGGCCTGCGCGTGCGCGGAGCGTGCCAGGGGCAAGGTCAAGGGCCGCGGCGGCCTGGGGGCTGGGCTGAGCCGCGCCGGGCGCATGCGCCATCCCGCCTCCCGCCCCGCCTCTCCCTCCCAGCCCTGGTCCGGGTCGGAGTCCAGGTCAAGGTCCGCCCGGGCCACTCCTCCGACGCCGTCCGCCTCGTGGCCCAGGCGGGCCCGCAGAGAGGTCTGAGCTTGGGCGCGGGGCCGCAGGAGAGGCTTCCGAGGGTCTTCTCGGGCCAGATCCCTCAGCAGCCCTGAGCAGACCCCTGGCCCGACTCCTAACCGCGGTCAGGAGCACAGTTCATTCCCCTTCCCAAGCCCAGTCCAGGGCCGCGCAGGCCAGCCTGCGAGGGTACGGGTCCCACGTGGCATGTGGAGTTGGGAGGAGCATCCTGCACAGAGGCAGCGGTGGTGGCATGGAGCCTCACAAGCCAGAAGCCTCATTCTGGGTCTGGCAGTGGCCTGCCTCTCCGTGTCTGCCCCCGGGGCCAGTGGGGAGGACACACACAAGATGACCTGTCATGGTGACTGGGGTGCCCCCCAGGTGGGGTTGCAGTCTCGCTGCCCCTTCCTGAGTGGGTTCCCATCCCAGGGGGCGGCCCCTGTCCCTCACACCCCACCCCCTGCGGTTGAGGTGGGGCCTGTTACTCAGGCCTGGCCTCAGGGCCCACATCTGGGCCAGGTGGCCGTGCACACCTGGGGGTGATGGCAGCTGCTGCAGGGGAGCGACTGGCAGGTGACTCCTCCTCTTGGAGCAGATGCAGGAGGGCCTGGGGACCAGACAGATCTGCAGCCAGCAGCCCAGGCCTGGTGACTGTCTCCTGGGAAGGATCTAGACCTGAGAGGTTGGGGCTCCCCCTTCAGAGCCCCCACCCGTCCTGCTGAGCCTCATCCCACAGCTCTTGCCCTGGGTCACACCTGAGGTGTAGGCTCACCCACCACCCCCCCGGCATCATCTACATGCTATTCAGGTACCTCCTTGTCCAATAGCGAGTGCCTGGGTGGGGCAGGTGAAGGTGGGGGAGGCCTGGGGGCTGGGCACAGGGGCTCTGCTGTTGGGGGTTGTGACACCCTTGAACCTGGGCTCTTGCACTTGTTTGGGACCCTGAGGCACAAGGTACGTGGGGATCACAAGGTCCTGTTGTCCTGCACCAGCATTTCATTCCTGTCTCTGGAACTTGCTCACCCTGGAAGCCAAGGCTGGGTGAGTGGGGGGCCATTCCTGGGGGGCTTGCTGACCAGTGCTTCAGGTCACCCCTGCTTTTGCTCACCTGGCAACTTCCTCTTTTCAGAGCACGCCTGAGCCTTTCCCTGGGGGCCTTTGCACTTCCTATTCCTACCTCTGGAATGCTGGAGTGCCTCTCTGCCCGTCAAACTCCTAACCATCCGTCAAAGCCCATGGGCACTAAGGCACTGTCTACCCAGTTCTCCTGTTCTGAGAACACCCTATGCAAGGACTGCCCTGAGTGCCCCTTTGTTAGCTCAGCCTGACTGCCCAGTGGGCCTCCCATATAAGGACTTGGGATTGGGGCTCTCTCAGGGTGGGTGTGTCACGGGCAGGCCAGCTACCCAGGCAGCGGGCAGAGTGGCCCATGTCCCAGGCCCAGGATGCATCCCTCTTCCCAGCAGGGCTAAGACCCCTCAGTTCCAGGTTCTCTTTTGGCCGAGGCTGGGCAGGGTGGATCCAGAGACTTAGACCTCAAGCACCTGTGGGTTATGCAGACCCTGCACCAGCCCCTAAAGTCTGGGGCGGCTGAGACCAGGGCAGCGGGCTGGGCACAGGGTCCCTCTCCCTCGGGTGGGACTTCCGCAGTACTGTTGAGAGGACAGATCAGCTGGTTCCACTGTCTGACCCCAGGCTGCCAGGGCCTGGCTGGAGGACATCAGGCAGTTGGACAGGCAGTGGCGATCTGTGGCCTGGAGTGGGATGATGTGACAGGGAGGTGGGTTCTGTCTCAAGCTGGCCCATCCCAATGCCCAGGACATCAGGACAGGAAGCAGCGGTCACCTGGGAGGATCCAGAGGAGGGTCTGCATGGGGTTCCCCTCAGACACACCTCCGGGTACCACTGGGCTGAAGGCGGGGCTGACTTACACCCAGGCTTTTTGTTCCCATGTGCCGGGGTGGATCCCAGGGACGTTCCCTCAGCGCCCTCTGCAACACACAGACGTGCACTTCTCTCCTGCCGGGACAGGTGCCTGATGCCGGGGCCGGGGGGCGGGGGCCGTGGCACGTGGAGGTGGTGCGGCTTTCGCTCTTCTCAGCAGCCCTCGGACAGCCAGCACCAGCTCCGGGGGCCGAAGGCACCAGACAGGAAGCCCAGGCACGGCGGGACCAGTCACTGGGGCGCAGGGAGTCTCTGCCTGCCCGGCCCTGGGACTTCCCTGAGGTCAGGGAGCCTCGGGGCCAGGGGTGCGCTGAAGGCCCAGGAGTCAGAGAGGCCCGATGCAGCAGCCAGTGGGAGGGTCCGCAGCAGCGAGCCGCCCGCACCTCTGCCCTCCCCAGGCCTCGGTTGTTCTGCCCTGCTGGAGGAAGAGCATTTCCAGAGGCCCCTACCTGGCCATGCCCATGTCTGCAGAGGGCAGGACCCTGAGGCATTGGCATCCCCATCCCCGGGCACACCGAGGATGCGTGCCATGGTGGGGTCCCCAAAGGGAGGTTACTCTCGGGAGAGGAGAGGGTGCTAGAGAGGAAAGCAAACTGGACCCCTACACCTTTTGCGTCCCTATACGGTGACCCCACGTGTGACACAGCTTATCCTAGCAGCCCCTCCCTCAGTGCCCAGCCCACTGGGGCCTCCGTCCCTGGAGACGCTGCTGCCATCTGAGTTCTCCTGGTTTTCAGGTGTCCTTGTAAGTTCGAGCGGGATTTACAGTGTGTACTCTTTATACACTAAATGCTTTTTATAGCTGGTATTTTGTTTAGACCTTAAAAGTAGTCCTGGGACCTCCCTGGGGGTCCAGTGGTTAAGCATCTGACTTCCAGTGCAGGGACTCGGGTTCGAGCCCTCGTCAGGGAGCTAAGATCCCACATGCCGCGGGGCAACTAAGCCCGCACAGCACAACCACCGAGCCCGTGGCCTCTGGAGCCTGCACGCTGCAGCTAAGACCCGATGCAGCCAAATAAACAAACAAACAAATAAATAAATATAAAAGCAGTTCTGTAACAAAAGTAACTTAAGTTAGCCTGGGCATCCCCAAGAGGTTGTTTTTGTTTGTTTGTTTGTTTTGTTTTGTTTTTCTCATTTTGGAAGCATGCCTACATTCCTCAAGCTTAGAGATGCTATGAACGAGAAGCTGAGCCTCAGAAGAAACAGGAGATGGTTACAAAGTGATATCACAAAACTACAGCGTGGCCTTGTGGCAGGTGCAGGCAGACCCAGGCTCAGGATAGGCCCTGGCTGTGTGGGAAGTGACAGCAGGAGACAGAGTCACCGTGGGGCTAGGGGGACCGTCCACTGCCTGTTGCTGGCTCATCACACCTGCTGGTGAGAAAGAAAGACCACAAGCTCTCCAGCTTACTCCACACAAAACCTAAGGTCCAGATGCATTAAAGGCCTAAACGTGAGTAAATACCAAGAGTATTAGACTACAACAAGGGAGAACATCCTTCTAACCGAGATTCCAAAAGCTTGCATGGTAAAGAGAGCAACAGTTCCGTGTGATAAACTGAGATTTTGGAACTTCTAGATGCAGGAAACAGAGTGAGGTGTAAGCCAGCCACTGAATGCAGGTACTGCCATTTGATGAAGGTTTGCAGTATAAAACACATGAAGAGGACTTCCCTGGTGGCGCAGTGGTTAAGAATCCGCCTGCCAATGCAGGGGACACGGGTTCGAGCCCTGGTCCGGAAAGATCCCACATGTCACAGAGCAGCTAAGCCCGTGAGCCACAACTACTGAACCTGAGAGCCACAACTACCTAGCCCGCATGCCTAGAGCCCGTGCTCCACAACAAAGAGAAGCCACTGCAATGAGAAGCCCGCGCACCACAGCGAATAGTAGCCCCTGCTCGCCGCAACTAGAGGAAGCCCGCGCGCAGCAACCAAGACCCAATACAGCCAAAAATAAATAAATAAAATAAAAATCTTAAAAAACAAAAAGTCAGAAAAGGCAAGGCCCAGATGGCCAAGAACCTGGTGAAAAGTAGCAGTTGGATCAGTGCAAACAGAAACAACCAGAAGTGGCCAGCTTCCCCTGTTCAGACGGACTTTATTTTTATTTTTTATTTATTTATTTAATTTATTTATATTTGGCTGTGTTGGGTCTTTGTTGCTGCGCGCGGACTTTCTCTAGTTGCAGCGAGGGGTGGCTACTCTTCGTTGTGGTGCGCGGGCTTCTCACTGCAGTGGCTTCTTGTGTTGCAGAGCGTGGGCTCTAGACGCATGGGCTTCAGTATTTGTAGCACACGGGCTCAGTAGTTGTGGCTCGCGGGCTCAGTAGTTGTGGCTCGCGGGCTCTAGAGTGCAGGCTCAGTAGTTGTGGCACGTGGGCTTAGTTGCTCCGCGGCATGTGGGATCTTCCCGGACCAGGGCGCGAACCCGTGTCCCCTGCACTGGCAGGCAGATACTTAACCACTGCGCCACCAGGGAAGTCCCCAGATGGGCTTTAAAACCTTGAGTGCTTCACCTGCTCCTGTGTCACCAAGGGAGGGGAGCTCTGCTCTCGTGGCCGACCCATGGGCACGAGACAGGGCAGCCGAGTTTAAGGTGCATACACAATGTGGCCTACCTCTGGGCGAGTCCCAGGAGAACCGCAGGGAGGGCCTCAGGTGTGCACACACCCGTGTTTACAGCAGCCTTACAGGAAGAGGCAGCCCAGTGCCCATCAGCGAATGACGGACACACAAAAGGTGGTCCATGCATATAATGGGATAGTCAGCCTTAAAAGGAAGGAGATCCTGACACAGGCTACAACATGGATGAAGCTTGGGGACATTATGCTCAGTGAATAAGCCAGACACAGAAGGACAAATCCTGTCTGATTCCACTCACATGACGTCCCCAGAGTCATCATTCATAGAGACAGAAAGTAGATGGTGGGGGGGGGGAGGGGATGAGGAGTGAGTGTTTAATGGGGGCAGACTGTCAGTTTGGGACGATGAATGATTTCCGGAGGCGGATGGTGTGATGCTAGCACAGCAGTGTGGGTGGGATTAATGCTAAAGTCCTGTGCACCGAAAAGTTTAAGATAAAATGGTAAATTTTATATAATGTACATTTTACCACAATAAAATAAAGGTCAGATGTGCACGCAGGATGCCCAGAGACACAGGGCACCGGGGCAGGACAAGGATTTCCATTACTGCTTTGTCTAAAGTTGCAAAAATTCTGAAACAATCTAAATATCCTTTAATAGAGAATCGAGGGGGCTTCCTTGATGGTGCAGTGGTTCAGAGTCCGCCTGCCGATGCAGGGGACACGGGTTCGTGCCCCGGTCCGGGAGGATCCCACATGCCACGGAGCGGCTGGGCCCGTGAGCCATGGCCACTGAGCCTGCGCGTGCGGAGCCTGTGCTCTGCAACAGGAGAGGCCACAACGGTGAGAGGCCCGCGTACCGCAAAAAACAAACAAACAAACAGAGAATGGAGAAGTAAAATGAGACAGCAACACGGGGAGAACATCACCGCATCGGGAGGACCGAGCCCTGGGTGTCCAGCTGAAGGTGACAGATCTCACCTTCACAGGCACCTCCGTCCCGCCCCAAGTCCCCTAAAATGGCAGAAGGATTTTCGTTTGTTTGCATTTTAGGTGCAAGCAGAACACAGAGAAGGGGAGAGGGGGCTGGCTGGCTGGAGAAGGTAGGCAAGTGGCAGCCCCGGCCCCTGTGGGGCCGGCGGGCTGGAGGCTGCGGGTGTGGGCACCGTCTGCCTGCTCTCTGTGGCCAAGCTCAGGCCAGATGGCTCAGGGCAAGGGTGTTAGGTCTGTTTGGAGTGTGTTCACTCCAAGGAAGGGCTCTGGACTTGTCTGGGCCTGAGGTATGGGTGCACCAATGGGGGATGAGTACCTGGAAAAGAAGGGAGAGATGTGCCCCCAACCAGCTTGAGGAAGTCCGTGGGGCCCAGGGTGACAAAGCCCGCAGAGCACTTCTGGAGCCCAGGGGGCCTTCCTCCCCACGAGCCCACGCCCGCGCGACTCCCCCAGTTGGACACCTGGCCAGGGTGGGCAGCGAGCTGCGGGCGGAAAGTGATGAGAGGAGGGACCCCCCTCCCTGCAGCGACCTCCCCACCCCCCTGGAGTGGTGAGCTCACTGCAGAGAGGGGTCGAGAAAGCGTCCCCAGCTGGAGAGGACGACTGAGGGCCAAGGTCCCCATTCCCCTCCCAACGTGACTCCAGTACAGCTCGACCCCATGCTGTGGCCGGCAGCCTGGGCCTGGGGGTGGGTCCTGCAGCCCCTGGGTGTCCATCTAGCGTCAGGGCTTGCAGGAAGGCCTGGCTGTGGCTGTCTGGGAGGGGTCAGGCCCTGGGCGGGGCTGTGGGTAGAGCTCACCAGGATCAAGGGCACGGAGGTGGCAGGAAGGGCTGGTGAGGGGCACCTGGGGGTCCCTGTCCCTCCCTGGAAGGCCCTCGGTGTGGATACATGACACCCCACACACCCAGACAGGCAGCCCCAGCCTGTCCCGGCCGCATGCAGGTGAGGACGCCAGCCCAGCCTTTAGATAATTAGAGTTTATTTCAGACTCGGCCTCCACTCAGGCCTGGGGTTTCAGTGGCCAGCTGGCCAGGCAAGGGCACATCGGGCTCCCACAGTGCCCACTGCCACCGTGCCATGGGCCCAGCAACGCATGGTCTCCCTGCAGGCACAATGAGGCAGCGGACGTGGGTGATGGTCACCCGCCAAGCGGTTCTACTCTACCTGTGTTATTGCATGTATACGCTTGTTAGACCCCGAGGACGCTGGGTGAGGCAGGAGACGCCATCTGTGGGGGGCTAGGCCGGCACAGCTGCCTCCCTGCCAAGCTCTCAGCTGCCCACAGGACAACTGCCGCACGGTGGGATGGGGGTCAGGGCAGGAAATGTGGGGGCCCAGCTAGAAGGTAAACTTGGGGAACCCCCTCCTGACACCAGCCTTCGGGCTGTCTGTCCACCCAGCCAGGGCTCAGGTGACCGGGCAAGTGGCTCGGAAACTCCGCCCATGTGGCCGCCTGCCTGAGGTCAGCCCCCCGGAGTCAGCCCACCCAGATGAACGCCCCACCCCAAGTTACAAGCAAAGAGCAGAAATGGGGAGAGTGAAACAGCCACACCCTTTAATGTCCCCACGCAGGCTGGACCCAGGTCAGAACCCATCCCAGACCCCTGCCCAGCCCTGGGGGCACCCACCCTGGGGGCTCATTGGGAAGTTGCTGCCAGGAAGCCCACAGAACCACTGGGGCCCTTGGGACAGGCTGGCACGCTTGGGCAGGCGGGCCACACTCAGCCCACTCCTTCCTCCGCCCTCAGGTGCCCTGGTCCAGCCTAAGCCGCCACCCTGTCAGGGCTCCACCCGTGCTGCTCTGTACCCCACAGAGCCGGGGCTCCTTCTGCCCCCAGGTTCAGAGGGGAAAGTGCTGGGGACTGACCGACCGAGGGGGCTTGGTTTCCACTGCTGGCAGGGGGCCTGTCCCTCTCTCTCTTCCTCTGCGTGTATATGGGGGGTACACAAGTATATGTATTACGTATGTATAGATAGCTGTGTGTGAACTTGGCATGCACTAGATTCCCGAGGTCTGTACAGGAAGTGGCTGTGCCCCCACCTGGGCACCAGCCATCATTTTTTTCGGACCAGGAAGGCCACACCAAGAATCAGGGCTGCAGCTGCCACAGCCATGCCCCCAGCCACAAAGAGGGGGGTCAAGTTCTCGAAAGGGCAGGGGCCTTGGCCCCGTGGGCCCCCGTCGGGGGCCTCGCCCTCCTCAGCCCCATCCCCAGGGCCCTTGGGCTCGGGGGCTGCATCGGGGCTGCTGGGGGCTGCGGGGGTCGGCTTCAGGTTGCTGTGGTTGTTGAGGAGGGCAGGGTCTGCCTTGGCCGGGGTCTTCTTGGCAGGCGGCAGGGTGGGGGCCGCTGGAGGCTCCTGCTTCTCCACTTGGGCCTCCTTCTTCCCTGGCTTAGCCGAGGGGGCTTTCCCGTCCGCGGCGGTGGGTGCTCGGGCCTCAGCAGCAGCCTTGGTGTCGGCCTTGGGGCTGCTGGTCGACTTCCCTCTGGACTCCATGGTGGGTGTGCTGGCGGGCTGCACGGGGCGTGCGTGGACAGGCAGGTGTCTAGACCGCAGCAGCTCAGGACAGCTCACCTCTGGGCATCCTATGAGCCTGGGGGGTGGGGGAGACCCAACGAGGCTGGGACAAGAGACTTGGCGTCCTGTCCAGCTCCCAGCTCCTGGTCCCTATAGAGACCCTGCTCAGTTCTCTGGACCCTCTTCTTCCAGGGCTCAGCCTCCTTCCGGCTTCACCCACCTTCTGAGAAGCCCCCCGAGCACACAAGCAGGGGCTGGGCCCCTCTGGGCCGGGGTGTCGGGATGAGACCAGCCAGAGGCTTCAGTTTCCTCATCTGTGACACAGTCTTGCCCACACGTGTGCCGTGTCCATCACGCTCACCCAGGGTGGGGAAGAGAGCCCACCCAGCCCTGAGAAGGGCGTGCGGTCACGGGAGGTGGACAGCAGCCCCGTGGGCCTGGGCAGAACTGACTACATACCCTTCTCAGGGCTGGGTGGGCTGGGGGGGAGGCAGGGCAGGGTGGGAGCCCAGAGTCTGGGCTCTCAGGCCTTGGTGGGGTAGGAATGGGCCCCAGGCCGCCAGGACCTGGATGTGACAAAACCAGGGTGTCTTCTCAGAAGGCTGGAGAAGGCAGGGTGGCAGTGACAGGCCTGTGCCTCCCAGCCAGCTATCTACTCCCCCCAGCGCCGGGCACCCCCCCCCGCCCATGACCGGCCTTGCCTGCTCTGGCCTAAGAGCAGGGAGTCCTCCGTGACCCTGAGGCCACGCCTGCCTCTGGGAGTGGAGGGAATCCCTGGTGTGAGTCTGGGGTCGGCAGGCGCCCTGTCATCAGCCTCAGCACCCCCGAATCTGGGCCAGGCAGAGGACGGGGGCTCTGGGCTGTAGGGAAGGCCTGGCCCAGATCCTCAGTGTTTGGGGAGGGCAGGGGGACTGGGGGCCTCGTCACTCTGGACCTGAGTCTTCCCTCCCTGGACACCCGGACACCGGCGGTCCGCCGCTTCTCCAGGAGGTTGAGAACTCCCACCTCAACCCTCAGGGAGAGGGAGCCTGCGTGGGGGGTGGCAGCCCCGGGTCCCCACCCTGGTAATGCACACTAACCACAGTGAAGGTCGCCTGAAGGTCACGGCGTGATGTGGGTGTCCTGATGAAAGGCCCAGCTGCTGTCCTACCTCCCGGGGAACCCCAGCAGCCCCTCACCCCTGCCACTCTGGAGGGGCACCCAGCTGCTGGGCATCAAGTTTGCAAAGGGCAGGGGGTCCACTCTCCACCTCCCCCAGACCCTTGGTTATTTCTGGCTCATACTAACGTCACCCGGCTACCCCTCCCCCTCCAGGCCGCTGTGCCCAAGACAGCAAGGGCCCCGGAGGGCCCCCGGTGACCTTCATAGCGGAGAACCGCTGCTTCTTCCTGCGGGGCCCTCACCCCACCCCAGACCCCAGGCCGTGGAGTCGCCGCCGCCTTACGCTGCTGCTCCCGGCGCTCCCACCTCGGCGCAGCGCGCTCTCCGCGGGACCACGGCGGTCGGCGGGCGGCGGGCGGCGGTCGGCGGGCGGCGGCCGGCGGCTGCGGAGGAAGGACTGGGAGTTTCCCACAATGCACTGCTTCCGGCGCAGGAAGGGGAGCGGGACCGCATCAGCGCTGGCCCCGCCCACCTGCTCTCGGCCACCACAGCGCCCCGAGCTGGCTGAGACCTCTGGGGCCCCCAAACCCAGCTCCGCTTTTGATCCCAAGGACAGCTTAGAGTCAGGGAGGTGAGGGGCTGAGGCTGGTTTTTCCGCAACCCCATCCCAGACTGTGAGGGAGTCAGGAGGCCACTCCACCCAGGACCCCCTCCAGCCAGTGTGCCCGTCAGTGGGTGGGCAGACGGACCCAGGACTGCCAGGTGAGGGGAGCCAGTTACCAGAAGAGGAGGGCGCCCTTCCCCTCCTCACCCCTACCAGAGTCTCAGAGAAGAGACATCTACTTAGAATATTTATTTATCTTCTTACATGACAAGACACAAAAAGTTACAACTTCTTAAAACTCTTGAATTCGAAAGAAAAAATATATAATTCTGTAAGCAGCAGCAGCAGCAGCTTCCAAGGTACAGCTGTGACGGGAGAGGGCAGCTCCCAGGAGCAACCGCAAACTGCGGGGCCCAGGCCTGAGCCCCAGGTAGTGTCACTGGGAGGGGCCTCCAGAGAGGGGGCCCGGGGGGTGGGGGAACACAGCACCGGCACGTCAGACCAATCACCAACACGATCACGTGGCTGGGGACAGGGCAGGGCAGGGTGAGCCTCTGCCTCAATTCACAATATCAGTGGGGCGGGGGGTGGGGGTGGGGACGCTGGGAGGGCGGAGCTTTACTAATTGTTGGGGGGGCCGTATGCAGAGGCCCAGAGAGCAGTGTGGGCACTGGGAAGGCTGGAGGGGCAGCTCCTGGCACCCCTGCAAGAGGAGCACACGCTCCCAGGCTCGACTGGTCCTCGTGCCTGCCCTTCCCTATGGCCAACTCTGCACCAGGGCGGTGGTCTCAGGAGAGGGCTCTACTAAAGGTGCAGCAGGAGCGGGCAGGCCGGAGAAATGAATCTCTGGACGGGGGCAGTGGGGAGTCTAGGGCACACACAGCACATGTGCGCGCACGCACGCGCACACACGCACACGCACGCGCCTGGCCATGTGGGGAAAGGCAGCAGTCTCCCCAGCAGCCCCATCCCTGAGGGGCCAGGCCAGCAAAGGGCTGCCACTAGCTACTCCCCACAACATTCGTACATGCGCCCCAACTTCACACCCCTGGGTCCCCAGCCTGGGCTGGAGGCCGAGGGGCCTACCAGGAGGGAGGCTGGGTCCCACGGTGGGGGCGGGGAACCTGTCCTGGGAGTCAGAACGCAGGGTGACCCCCAGCCTAGGATTCCTGGCTCAATATGGGGGGCAGGAGAGCCCAATCCTCCCGCAAGGCTGGCCAAGGCGAGAACAGCAGCAGGGGAGGCTGGACGGACAGACGGAGGGATGGACAAAGCCACTTGTGCTCAGCAAGTTAATAAATAGGTTTGTGCAGGGTCCCCCCTGTGGACTAGGGGCCAAGCCTCGGGGACGGGAGCTGGTAGACTGGAGGGGAGGGTCCAGCTTGCCCAGCCCAGGCCTGGGGGCCCCCAGTCCAGAGACCAGCTCTGTCCCTGGGGGTGTTCAGAGGGGGGCCAAGGTGGGCAGGGCTGGCTCCAGGAATGTAAAGATTTCTGAGTTTTCTACATAAGACATTGATCCCAGCGGTTGTGCAGGCAGAACCCCACCAGGCCCACGTGTGCACACTGTGTGGACCCTGCACCCCTTCCTCTCCCCCCACCCCCACGTCCATGTGGGGAGAGACTCTCGCATCATCCGGGTGCGTTCCCTGGCTCTGGCCCCACTCTGGTCCCGCTCAGCTGGAGGGCGTGGGGTGGCTGCCAGGCTCAGGGCTGGACTCGCGGCAGCCCCAGCAGGGTCTCGGCGATGCCCAGGAAGTAGACCACCTGAGCAATGCCGAACAGCGGGGCGATGACCAGGGCGCGGCAGTAAGCACCCTTCAGGAAGGCTGTGGGGCCCTCGTTCCGCAAGATCTTCCTGTCGGGGGAGGGGAGTCAGAGCTGCAGGGCTGGGGCTGCCCTACCCCCGCCCCACACCCCTTGGGGGCTCACCCACCTGGCGCAGTCCAGGAACCCCGAGTAGGTGTCCTCGTTGACGCCGCGCTGGAGCGTCTGGAGCCGGGTCTTCACCACTGCAGGGGTCGTGCGGGTCAGTATGGGCCCCTTACCGCCGACCCCACTCCTCAGCCCCGTCCCCAACCCGGGCCCAGGCCTGGGCACTGACCATCACAGGGGTTGACAGCCACGGCAGCCGCGCTCCCAGCCACACAGCCGGCCAGGAAGGACACGTAGAAAGGAGACTTCTCCCCAGATGCCGGCCGGCCCAGCTGGTTCAGGTTGGCAAAGAGGGGGAAGTAGACGATGGAGAAGGGGACATCCCTGCGGAGGGAGGGCGGTGGTGACTGGCTGGGAGGTGGGGGGCAGGTGGGCGGGCCGCCCCCAACCCTCCCTGCCCCCCTACCTGAGCAGCGTGGCCCCCAGTCCCTTGTAGAGGCCGGCGATGCCGTGGCTCCGCAGCAGGTCCCGGGTCAGCTGAGTGGCTGTGGGCCGGGGTGCAGCTGGAGGCTCCACGGGGGGCTGGGCACCCCCCCGGCCGGAAAGCTGGGCCTGGCCAGATAGGGTCTTCCTCTGGGCGGCTGGGGAGAAAGGGGACGGCCTGCTGGTCTCCCTCTCAGCACGAGGCACGCGGTGGCGGCAGGGCAGGGGCCCGGCTAGTTCCCCCGCCCAGCTGCCCGCCGCCCCGCGCCCTCACCAATGCGGCCCGCGTCCTGGAGCTGGATCTTCAGCATCTCCATGGGCGTGGTCACGATCACCTGGCAGGTGCCGGCCCCGCAGCCCGCCAGCATCTCCTTGAACAGGGTCAACTTCTGCCTGCTGTAAAGAGGGTGGGGCTGCAAGGAAGAGTCAGAGGCCCCGGGGGCCTCCCAGTGCACCCAGGAGTGAGGGGGCATGGGAGGGGTGGAGGCGGAGGCAGCCCTGTGGGGTACAGACCTCCGCAGCCTCAGACACCCTCCAGGCTCTCCAGCAACAGGCGGTGAGCCCAATTGACAGATGGCTCCTGGCAAGGCCAGGGAAGGGCCAAGGGGCCGTTGTTGAGCAAAGAGAAATGCAGTGGGGGGGCGGTTCAAGTGCTCCAAGGGACTACTGGTCTTTCAGCCCCACCCTTGGGTGATGAGGAAAACTGGTCAGTGCCCCCGAAATCCCAACCTACAAGGGGCAGCAGGCAGTGGCTGGGGGCCAAGGACCCCTGGGGCCTGGGCACCACTGACTCAGCATCTGGGGACAGAGGAGGAGGAGA